CCCGAGACAACTTTCCCCGGGGACCGCGCGGTCGGTGCCGAGGGGCAGACCCGGGTCGGGAGCTCGGGGCCCGGGGCCCGGGGCCGTGGGGCGGGGAGGCCGGCCTGGGCCCGCGTGGGAGCTCCCCGGACCGGAGCTGCGACCCTGCTCTCGGCCCGTTCCGGCCTCGGGACCGGCGCTGCCGAGGGCCCTGGGTCCTCCTGGGGGTCTGGTGTTTCGGGCCAGCCCTTCCCGGGGAGGGCCGTAGCCCTGTTCCGAGTGAACTTTGTGTTAAGGAGTTGCTGTCTGTAAACCAGCCCCTGATAAAGCCCGTAGTAGGCGCTTAGCGCAGTCTCGCTGGTGGCGAGGACGAGGGTTATTTGGGGGCTAGGGGAAGGGCAGGAGAAGTCGTCCTCCAACTCGTCTTCCTCCTGGCTCCTGCTGATGCGTCTTTCCGCCCGCAGGGATCCCCACCCACCACCCCAGGGTCTACAGCATCCACAGTCGAACTGTCACCCGGTACCCTGCCAACTCCATCGTCGTCGTGGGAGGCTGCCCGGTGTGCAGGTAAGTCTGCGGTCGGACTGGCCTCTGGAAGCTGCTGAGAACACACACATCCAGCACTTTACAAAGGCAGCATGGGTTGGGGGTGTGGGTCCGCCTTGACTTGGATCTTGAGGTGGTCCTTCACGGGAGGGGCAGACAAGCTGCCGGTGTTCAGTGTGGGAGAGTATGGATTCATTCGCCTTAGGCTCTGATGATATTTTGTGGGACAAAGTTCCTTTTTCTGGAGAGTTGAGTACATTTGGGGCCTTATGACTCAAGTGAGTGGGTTGCAGAAATGGGATCAATTGGACTGATAATCTTTTGTCCCTTTTTCTGGAACCTGCCAGGAATCAAGTTTCTTTTTTCCTCTCCCATTTCCACAAGTTTACTCTGCAGTGATTCTTTAAGTTTATCACCAGAAGGTTTTGTTGGAAAGGGTCATTTCGAAGTGGAGAGACCTAAGGTGGCCAGTGTGTTTGAGGAGCTGGGTCCAGGAAGCCAGGGGAGCAATTGCTGAAAAGGCTGCCGTCTCCAAGCAGAGCTTGAATACTCCTGGACATCAGCTGGACCAGGATGGCAACCCGTGGTTCTTTGTTTGGACTGGGAGTGTTTTTTTCATGTTCTCACATTGGAGCCTATAGATACTTTCTTTTTTTTTTCTTTTTTAAAAAGACCGGTAAGGGGATCTCAGCCCTTGGCTTGGTGTTGTCAGCACCACGCTCAGCCAGTGAGCTCTTTTTTAAAAAGACCGGTAAGGGGATCTCAACCCTTGGCTTGGTGTTGTCAGCACCACGCTCAGCCAGTGAGCAAACCGGCCATCCCTATATAGGATCCGAACTCGTGGCCTTGGTGTTATCAGCACCACACTCTACCGAGTGAGCCACGGGCTCTGAGATGGAATTAAGAAACCCCAGTTTGGACTTAGATTTCATTTCAAAAGTGTATCTGTAAGGCTCAGAGTAGAGTCATAGGGAAGTTGATTTCAGGACCAGAGGGGGCAACTGCCCAGGAAACATGAGGGCCCAGGAAGAGGGAGGGTGTTGTAGAGGTCGGGGTAAGAGGCTGGAACCCTGGACCTGACCTTGTGCCTAGAAAGGGGGCTGTGGAGAGCCCCTGGAGGCCAGGCGCCCACCTCGGGACCCTGTTACAAACCCAAACTGGGGTGTGTGTTCTGCCCGAGCTGGTGGTCATTGCTCAGATGAAGCACTGGCCTTTGGAGAATGTGAGGGGGAGGGAGGGAGGGCAGGGTAGGAAACTGGCTGCCTTCTGAACTCAGTTCTCTCCAGGAGCTGCACCTACAGTGTCAGGGCTGTTTGGGTTGAAGGCACATGGAGTGGACTTGGAGAAGAGGGGCATGGACAGGGAGATGTCACATGCCTGTGAGTGGGGAAAGGGTCAAGACTTGGTCCCCTTGGTAGAGAGCCATTGGGAATCCTTCTGGAAAGTTACATGAGGAGGTGATAACTGTTTGGCTATGATTCTAATCCTTGGGGCTCAGAGCCCTTCTGTCCCCACTTGGCCCAGCTGGAGGATTACAAGGGCCCATTTGGGTCGGGGGGGGGTAGGGGGTGGGACTTCGAATGATCTCCCTAGTTTAAGGAGGGGTGTCAGGCTGGCTGACTAGAGGGAGGATCAGAAGGTGCCTGGAACAGAGGAGTCAGGCTGAGATTTCAGGGTCTATCTGTGCCCCCACTCCATCCTGTGCCCAGCCTGCCAGAGAAGCTGGGTTCAGATCCTGGCCCTGCCAGGTACAGCTGGGAAATGGGGGCGTCTGCTAAGCCCCTGAAGTGGGAAGAGGGGAAGAAGGGGAGACCAGCAGCAGGTCAGTGACCATAGAGGCCAGGGAGCTTCCAGGCTGTGGGCCTGGGTGGGCCCGCTGCTGTCACTGCTGTTGTAGTGGGAAGCGCTTTTCCCTTTCTAGGATCGGAAATGTAGTGCTCCCCTGTCATGCAGATCTCTCTGCTCTTCTGGGGAGGGTTTTAGGTACAGGGCTGCTGGGAGGCTGAGGGGGGGTGGGCCATGTTCATTTGGGAACTGGCTTCTTCCCTTTTATATTCATATTACAGCAGGCAGTGAGGAATGCTGGGTCCTCTGAGGACAAGTTTGGTGGTGGGGGGGGGCCTTCGATCCTTTAAGTTGGGACCAGAGCACTCTTTTGATCCAACTAGGACCCCTCGTGTTCATTTGGGAACTGGCTTCTTCCCTTTTATATTCATATTACAGCAGGCAGTGAGGAATGCTGGGTCCTCTGAGGACAAGTTTGGTGGTGGTGGGGGGCCTTCGATCCTTTAAGTTGGGACCAGAGCACTCTTTTGATCCAACTAGGACCCCTCCTCCCTGGGCTGGGAGGGGCAGATGTCAGGCAGTAGGGTCCTCCTAGTCCTGGGGTCCTGCACATGCCCAGGTCCCTGCCCCCTGCCCACTGTGCCCTCTGCTGCTGGAGTGTGGGCCAGCTCCCCAGGCAGCGGCTGGCGGTGGCCAGGGGAATGGGCAGCAGGAGGAGGAAGCTCTGCTGCCGGTTGGGAGAGGGTGTGTGGCCTCCAGGGCCACCCCTGTCCAGGGAGAGGGAATGGAATGTTTCCCTGAAAATAGTTGAGTCTAGCTACGGTCTGGTGTCTCAGGGCTGGAAGACAGGACACTTCTCGTGTGACCACACTTCCTCCCTTTCCAGACGTAGCCTGCCAGGCTCTGTTCCCTCCCTCCCTGGTGGCTTGGCAGGCGTTTGCCCGAGTCACACGTCTGTGATTCCCTCTGAGTGAGGCTTGGCATAGGAGGCTTCTGTCGCTTGTCAGTTTGCCATCCCGTCTGAGCCTTCCATTAAGCAGCCTGACGCCATCTTCCCTTTTTAGCCGTTGACAAGAAAGCATTTCTTTCAACCTCAGCAGATGAGTGAGTCTCATGCTCTGCTTCTTCCCACCCCCCTCACTTTGCCCCTGGGCTACCCTAGGCTGTTTGGACTAAACACGCCTTGGCCAGTGGGGCGTCCATGCAGGTCTGGCCTCTCTGAAGTTGGATCCTCCCCTGCCCAGTGAGGCCAGTGACCCTTCCCTGGGGGTGTGGGCTGCCTCTAGATGCAGGATGATGTGGTAGCACTGTGGATCTCTGCAGCCCGGCCTGTATCCAGTGAGCACAGACTGTACAGTGAGTGCTGGAGAGGAGCCTGCGCCCTACAGGGAGGACTGCTGAGAGGGCGCCCTGGGCAGCACAGGGCAGAGGTGGCGACGAGCAGAGAGCAGCAACCAGCCTGGCCTGCCCCGGGCTCTCCACAAACACTGGGTGGTCATCACGAGTTAAGGTTTGGGGATGATCAGAGAGGTAGGAGGAAGTCCAGGAAAGAATGGGGTCTTTCTTGGCAGCCAAGAAGTTAAAGGAACAGCTATCAAGGTCAGATGCTGCCCAGAGGTTCAGAATGGAGCACAGGTGGTCATTGTGGGAGAGCCACTGGAGGACAGAGGCAGGTTGCTGAGGGCTGTGGAGGGCAGGGGTTACAAAGTAGAATCTGTGGAGGGGGTCGTGAGAGGAGGGAACCTGTGACAGAGCCTTGGGCTTCTGGATGGTGGCAGGTGTGGAGAGGCTGTTCCCTCCCGCCAGCTATGACTGGAAGCAAGAGCTGCAGCCTTGGTTTGGGGAAGTGGGTGAGGGCAGTTGGCTGCACCTCGGCTGGCTAGGATGGGCCCTGCCCATGGCCCCATGGGCTCTCCCTGTCCTAAGACAGTCCTGGACCAAGGTGGGGGGAGCAGTGGACAGACTAGCTGGGACTCGTGCCCAGGGCCATGTGCCAGGCAGGTTGTGCAGACCTGGGGGCCAGGGCTGATCCTGGGTGATCTGTGCTGAGCCTCCAGCAGGCCTGTGTTCCCTCGCTCATCCAGGAACCCCTCCCAGGGCCCACCTCCAGGATCAAGTGGCCACTTTCACTGTAAGGCTAGAGTCAGGGTTTAAAGAAGCATTTTCAGAATTAGTCAGTTCCCCGATTTCTCCAGCTTCCAGAATCCTTCCCTGACCACTCCCCCCACCAGCCTATTGCACAAGGGTGGAGGAGGGCCCTTCCAGCCACAGTTAGAAGGACGGACGAACTGGGTTTGGATTCTGAGCCAGTTGATAGAGTTGAAACTTGTCCTGACTGATTTGGACTTTTGTTAGGTTTGTTGGGGACAGGCAGGTAGGAGGGCAGCAGCTGTCTTCCTGGGGCAGAAGGCTCCCCCTAGCCTGCGCTGCTTGGTCCAGTGGGTGCTGGGGCCACTCTGCAGATTGTGGAGTTTTGCTGAATCAAGGTTGGCCTAGAGGTTAGATTGTGTTTCTCAATTCAGAAGATTTTGGGTTTTAAAAAACTAAATTATGCCAACCCTACTTTTGAGGTCTGGGGCAGTACTGTGGTTAAAACGTTAATATTTTTGCAGCACAATGTGAATATTCACATTAAGTAGGATAAATTAAGACTATAAATAGCCACCCATCAGTTCAGGTCACATGTTGTTACCAGGTGAGTTTGCTACAAACTTACCAAAAGTTCTGCTTTCAGAGCTTCTTGGCATTTGGAATTGTGGGTATGGGGTGTGGAATCTTGGGGTGTAGGGTGTGTCGCCCTGATTGAGCCGTGCTCAGAGCCTGAAGCTTTCTGAATGCAAAGGTGATGGCAGATCTCTTCTCCGTCTCTCTGGCCTTTTGAAGCTGTTCTCAGTATGTGGGTTCAAGTCATCGTTCCCAGGGGACGACGATTCTTGGGCGGGTCTGGGGTCACAGATTCTTGTTGGCAGATGTCTGAGCCTTGTGGGTGACTGGATTCCTTCCAGTGCACGGGTGTTACTAAAGGGAAACGTCCCTGCTCTTCCCAGAGACCTGGTGACCTTGGTCCTGTAAGAATGGGGTGAAGGTCAGTGGGGGTGGGGTGAGGGAGGCTGCCTATGGAAGGGTGTGGGGGTCTTGTAGGTATCAGATCTGGTACTCATGACTGAGGGGTCAGCAGAGGGTGACATGAGCTGTGCAGCTCTGCTCTGGCTGGAGGACGTGTGATGGATTTGGACAGAAAACACGGTGGGTTTGTAGGTTTGAAGGGTGTGAGTTTCCCAGTGCCTGGGAGGCCGAGGGGTCAGGTCAGCCAGTTTTGCCCATTGCTTTGCTTCACTTCATAAGTTCTCATGAGAAAGCGATGTCGGGCCACGATGCTGGGCCTCAGGAGGCTGGGCTGGCCGCTGCCAGGCACCTTAGTGCCCAGGTAGTGCCCATGTCCTGGCCTCGTGTCAGGGAGAGCCCAGAGGAGAGTGACCAGCCTTCCTGGGCTTCCTCCAGCTTTGACAGTGTAGACATGATTTGGGATCTGGATAGAGAATTAGGGAGGAGGCAGGTGGGGGCTGCTGCCCTTGGAACTTGACCCTAGAGAACAGCAGCAACCTGTAGATGGGACAGCTCATGTGGACAGGTGCACCAGGCAACACCAGGAAGCCCCCACCCCAGGCCTCATCACACACACATGTCCCTACTGTGGGGAGACTTTGTGCCAACAGGGCTTCTCCAGCCAGGGGTGCTTTGTGCCCTCCGGCACCTTGGTGCACCTCCACAGCACTGAGGACAACAGGACAGGGCCTCATCTGGCCCCAGCCTCCTCCTGGGCCCCTCTGGGAGACAGACTGGGCTCTACTCCTAATAGCTTGACCCTTAATAGCTCAGCCAGATAGTCAGTGTCCTCAGGCCTGGTTGATGCCCGGAGGCTCCTGGTTTCATCACTGGCTAACGGAGATGCGGGGTGAGGCACCCTGGGGACTCCTTTAGAGAGCAGGAGAGTGTTTTGGAATGTTTTCTCAGCTGGTTCACTTCTGCCCTCTGCTTTTTCATGGGACATTTTCTTTTCTTTTTTTTTTTGTGTCTTTTTGTGAGATTGGCCGCACTGCACTCAGCCAGTGAGCGCACTGGCCATCCCTATATAGGATCCGAACCCGCGGCGGGAGCGCCGCTGCGCTCCCAGTGCCACACTCTCCCGAGTGTGCCACGGGCTCGGCCCTCATGGGACATTTTCTTTTCTTTTTTTTTTTTTTTTTTTGTTTTTTTTTGAGATTGGCCGCACTGCACTCAGCCAGTGAGCGCACTGGCCATCCCTATATAGGATCCGAACCCGCGGCGGGAGCGCCGCTGCGCTCCCAGTGCCACACTCTCCCGAGTGTGCCACGGGCTCGGCCCTCATGGGACATTTTCTAACCGGAACATGCAAACCAGTGTGTTTCTTGGGATTGCAACTGTAGGTAGAAAATTTGTGCAGAGGGCTGGCCCGTGGCTCACTTGGGAGAGTGTGTTGCTGGTAACACCAAGGCCATGGGTTTGGATCCCTATATAGGGATGGCCGGTTGGCTCACTTGGGAGAGTGTGTTGCTGGTAACACCAAGGCCATGG